GGCGTAAACGGATCGCCACCGCGACGCCGGTGCGATCTCTTTTTGCAAAGTTGAAGTCCTGGTCGTCAGCCGATGTGCCGGCCTAAAGTTGGGACAGCGAACATGCTGGCCTGCCATGGCGCTGTCGAACTGCATGACGCATCGACTCGATTCGTGCGTCGCACAAGTTTGCAGCAAGCTGTCACTGCGGCACGAATGCAGGGCGCTGTGTCCGTCAGGGTGTCCGAGCAGCAAAGGCGGCGACTATCTGTCGTCGATCCGCGGTCAGATAGCGTGTCGCGACCACAGCCGATCATCTTGAATTCTGAAGAATATATAATTCCAACCACTGCCCCTGCCGATAGTCTCAGGGGACAGGTGGCAGCTTCCCTCCCCAAGTTAAGACCCGCATCACCACAGGTGAACTAAGACTACACCCCTGCTTGGAAAGCAACCGTGCTTGGAAGTAGGACGGCATTCACTCTAACGACCAGCGCCGTGACGGCGAGATGGTACTCCACAGTTGTCCTGAGATGTACAGATCTGAACATATCTCTCATTATGAGCGCCGTGACGGCGAGCTGGTACTCCACAGTTGTCCTGAGATGTACAGATCTGAACATATCTCTCATTATGAGCGCCGTGACGGCGAGCTGGTACTCCACAGTTGTCCTGAGATGTACAGATCTGAACATATCTCTCATTATGAGCGCCGTGACGGCGAGCTGGTACTCCACAGTTGTCCTGAGATGTAAAGATCTGAACATATCTCTCATTTATCTGAAAGACTTCCCTGAGTGCTCTGAAAGTCCTAAAAGACATAAAACACCTGGCAAACATGTGGCGCATGTGACCATGCTCACTAACAGCATTTGTAGAAGTGTTTTTGGCATGAGAAACAATTACCATGAGCTACACTGAAAGCATGAGCCCCAAAAGCAAGCTTTGACATCAGAAACGCTGCACAACAAATAATTGGCAGCTGAGTATACAACTCACATTTTCCTATTTCTTACTAAGCCCCGTAATTTATTACTTATACTTCCATCCATTGATCCCTGAGTGGGACAGGAACACCTAAACAGCTGGAGTGGAATGGGCAGTTAAGAAAAAGCACACACCATTGTCAGAAACATACTCAGCATTGGCTCTTCAAGAGAATGCTAGCGCCGAATAAACCTTAGACTACCCTGGACCATACCCCATACCCCAGCTATGTACATTCTTGTAAAAAATGTAGCATGAGTTGTTGATACAATATTTCTGTACCACTGTCTTCCACTCAACATTTACTGCATTTGTTGCCAAGCAATTGTTTTGTTTTAACTTATGTTATGATGTGTAACAAATGGATTGTTTTAGATTGGTGTACAGCTGAACATTAAGAAAATTGCTACGTTTCATCAAAACTTTAGTTTTTTACAACTGCTACAGTGCTGGAATCATCCCCAGGAAAGGCGACCATTCTATTCTGTCATAATGATATTGTTAGTTCTGCATCCTGAACCATATTATCGTTTGAGCATAAGGTTTGACATACATCTCGAAGATTGCGTAAGTGTTGAGTGTATTTGCAAGGAGTGCTATGCATATAGATTGACAATACTATTAGTGTTTTCCTCGTATAATAACCAGGAGATACGAGAGATAAATGTATTAATATTTCGGTTGCGTGCCTTGATTAAAACGAACATCAACGGTAAATTGGAATTGCCTGCCGATCCCGCGATATTTTTCAGGTTTTTTAACAGCGAGCCACAGTTCTAACAAGTCACCTACGCTCAGGAGATTAAAAAGAAGTGCTTTATTTCGCTGTCCAACTACAAATTTCAGGTACGATACAAACTATTGCACCCATTAACTACACCGTCTTCTGCTGACATTGGGAGCATTTACCAAGCACAGGTCGTTGTGCAATACAATATTTGGACTGCATGCTAATGCATAGGGCAATTACATTTTGAAATGTGGTTCTGCCCCGCCCCCAATGTTGGCATGCGCCAGTAATTAATGGTTCGTCCTTCTCATATTGTTGCTGGAATATTACAAAATCTAAAGTAAAAGGCAAGTGTAACCAACGATCACCCACTGTGAGCATCTTTGATGTGCAATGGGTGGACTATTGGTAAATTAAACAAACGTACAAAATAAAAATACTGTTTGGTCAAAATTAAGTGTTCGAAAATTCGGTTAGATACACATGCTGGGTGGAGGTTGAGTACTAGGTGGGCGGGCCCTAAGCGCAGCTCATCAATAATTTATACACCTTGATACTTGTGATCTGAAAAGCACAGCATCTTGCAATTTAAAGCACGCCAAGTACGTTGTTCAGCGCATTTTCGACGAACATTGTACAGATATGTAAGAGATATAGGAGGGTAGTAATGCCTTATTCCTTGTAAAAACTAGGATAATGGAGAAATAGATGCGTTGATATTTCGGCAACATGCTTTTATCGAAACGAATAGCAGAGGCCTTCCGTCTGCTATTCGTTTTGACAAAAGCATATTGCCAAACTATCAAAGCATCTTTATCTCTATTCTCCCGGTTTTGTTACCAGGCATGAGGATGTTATCTCTGTGTTGCTATGTTATATTTGTGTCTACCGTGTTATCTATAGGTCAAGTATCCAAAAATACCTATGCCAGAAAACTCAGTCAACTTTTGATATCAGATGGCCCGCCCTAAACAATGCACGATGATACATTCCTTCAGTTAATTACCCTAAAAGCCGTGTGCCTAATGCAACATCGCAAGAAACATTTCCGTTATTCTTTATTGCTGATTGGTTCACAATTAAGGGATCTGGTGTGATAAGGAAACTGCGCTGAATTGATTTAAATGCTGCGTGGCCTGTTTTGCAAGCGGTAACACCCCTAGACAATGTTGTGATGTTATCCCGAGATAGGTTCTTAGCTGCAACATTAAAGGAAGGGTTTCACAGTTGAAGATATTGAAGCAAGCATTAGGTATAATGAAACAAGCTTGCTTGTAACTATTGGTATGCCTTTCAAGTGGAAAAACTGCTGCAAGGAGCACAATGCTCTGTTTAGTAAATATATTGCTGAATGCGTCATGCTTTGATGACGTCATCGCGCCTTGCACAACAATGATTGAGAGCTAATCGACAGCCATTTTATCTGGAAATCGCGCTCACGAATGTCAGATATGAACGCCTCGACAGTTACGTTTTTCTTAGCCTTTATCGCAGCATGGCTTTTGGAATGGCAGTATTTAAATGACGCTTTTATGGGGTCATAAAGGCCAGTTACTTTGAAATACTGTACGCGATATACCTTTCCCCATTTTCGTGGGCGTATAGCTCAGAAACTAGAGGGGCTTTGATGTTAAGAAAGCAGGATTGAGGGCAGCACTGAAACGTCTTCAAGATGGCTATTTCAGTACAAAATCCCATATAAATGTGAAACACTCCCTTGAATATACCACAGAATACCTCAACCAGCCATTTAGTATGCAGCACTCAACAGCCGGCAGCCTACGCTACACTGTTCATAACTGCCTCGCTGCGTCTTTACTATTCGCATCATCACGACCTAAGTCCCTAAGACTTCTTTTCGTGGGTATCTGCAAAATACAACGTTTACGGATGGAAACCCCCGAAGTGTCCAAAAGCTCAAGATAGCTACTTTAGTGTTCTTGGGTGTCACCTTGCTATCAGTGTCACTTTGAAGAGAGTGTCACAGAGTTTTGTCCTCAGGATGAATGTTTGCCTAGCACGTGGCGGCTGACACACCAACCACGTCATGAAGGGTATTCGAAGGCGCTTATCTTCATACCGCGACAGTTGTGCTGTTTGTTATTCTAATGCACATGGTAAAGATATGAGTTATAAACACAATGGCAATGTCTTAAGCGTCCTGGTCACAAAAGTGGTCTTATTTGGCTCAGCGTCACGTGCTGCGTGAGTACAGAGTTCCCACTACGCTCACACTTTTGAGACACCCAGTACTTACTTGCTGTATTCGGAGGATGAATCGGCTTTACTTGATTCTCTACACAGAAGGGACTGTCCAGGAGCGTGATACACATGCTATCTATCACGGGCATATGTGGGGATTCAAGGTAGGGATGAGGGTGGGCAAGGGGCTGCCCCCTCCCCCCTCATACAACACTTTTGAAAGTAGGGGCCAGTCAGCGATGCTAATCTGCGGCCATCTTTAGAGATTTAATGTGTATCAAGCGTACTTTGTACTACCTTTAACACGCATGCCGATTTACCTAATTAACCACCCGTCTTCCTCAAACCGCACTGGACAAAACTGCTTCATGCAGTAAATAACAGTATATTTTCCTACCATGTACGGCGAACGGATATAGTTGGGTCCAAGCTTCAGGCTACTATTATACCGAAAGCATCCATTTTGTCGTTTGATATAGCCTTGGATGTTCTGCCTGTCTACTTAGTCCCGTCAACATGGATTCACAGAGTAGTCTGGAAGCAGCAGTGGTCCAGAAGTAGTAATAGTCTAGTTATAGAAGTGTTGTAGTTGTAGCCGAGCATATCAGGTAAAACTAAAGTTGTATATAATCCCGGTGTTTTGTGTAGCTTTCGGAACTTACCGCTATCATGCTATAAGCTGAAAATTTTCGGCATTACTTAAAATGACACGAGATAGTAGTCATTTTGGGTAAGCAACATTGCAACACTCTTTGACTGATGTCATTTTTATGCAAGTTGGAAACTCTAGAAAAGCGCTGTAGGTCTCCGCGAAGCCATGAATAAACTGGGTACAAATTATGTTGTGTGACTATTGCATGTTGATTGTTTAATTGAATCGTTAGCACTATTCCCTGTGATTTTTCGCTCTAAAGGTTATCACCAACCACACCAACTCCTTATGCGTCAGCCATGAGGTACCCAATCGTTTCAAACGTACAATTTTTTTAGCGTGAGTCTTCACGAGAATGCTGGCACGTTCGAAAAAAAATCGACTGCAACGTCCAGGCTAACAGTGACGATCAGCAATCAAAGAGATGGCAATTCCTGAGCGGTTCTGGTTTAAGGGACAGGACACTTGGTGCGCTTGTCGGGTAGGGTAGGTACAAACCAGTGCAACACCATGCGCCGTAGCTGTCACGCAGCACGTCATGCCTTCTTCTAGAGGCACGATTCGGCGCCCTGTACCAACAAGTAAGCTGTGACAAACGGCGAAGTTTACTAGACCCATACTAGCAGCCTTTTAAGAAGGAGTTTATCTCCTTTCATCGTTGAATGCTGCTTGTTTTTAGTGTGGTGTTTTTTTGAATGTTTTTACTGATCCACACAAATGTGGATCAGTGTTTTTTTCGAACATGCATTAGTATTTTACTTTTCAGATTAGTCTAAAGGGTTTGTCGAGACATCCGCTTGAGATCTCCACTTAACACCTTTCGCCAGGCAATCTTGCCTCAAACCGTCCAGGGCACTTTTGACGCCTCATCAAACGCATGGACAAGGCCGCGCCGTACGATCGCGGACCCCCTGCCGCCTCCCACCAACTGGCATTCAGCTATCTCCAAAATGTACTAAGTGAATTGAGAGCGGACAAATCCTTGCCCCCCCCCCCCCCCCCCACCCCCCACCCCCCCCCCCTGCTGCCGGGCTTGCCTCCCAGGTAAAGTTTCCTAAATATGCTCTAAGTCTCCCCCCCCCACACTTTTAGAAACGTTTCTTACGCTTATGTGGGCTCTAATTTCTCATTGATAAGATGTGTTCTCGTACATATTACAGCATATAATAAATCTGATGGGAGAAGCACAATAGATGCAAGGAATAAGATAGGACGACAGCTGTCCGGCAGCATGTGAAAGCCGCCATCTTGGTGCAGCCGTTGGACCGTGTACGCGAGTTACATGGTAAGTTGGAGGGTCTGTATTTGGTGTTGGCGGCAAGCATTTCGTTGTTTCGTGGTTTTCATTGGATATATGGCGCGGCAGCCTGGTCGCTAAAAGTCAAAGATATGCCAAGTTGGCCATGTATTTATGTTTTTTCGTCGTATTGTAGTTCAGATAGTGGTGATAGTGCCGGCCAATGGCGCCAATTAGGCCGCATGCTTCCCTTTCACGGAACCCTTTATGGTCAAGTCAGTGTCAGTGCTCCCAAGGTTTTTTATATTTGATGACCTCTTCCAACCTCTTAACTGAGCTGTTGGACTTCTTTTTTTGGCTTTATCAGCTGGGTACCTTTTCATGCTTGTACATTAGGGATAAAGTAATTACTAACTTGTGTTGCAATAGCTTCCTGCCTGGTTCTTGGATAGTGCATTTCTTTAAGGGGCATGCCATCTATCATTATAACTACCTGCTGCTTTGTATCTGTATCAAACAATGCATTAAATTCTCTGTCAAAATTGTGGTATTGTTATCTGTTTTATTCATAATGTAGGCACAGTGCGTTTGTTGCTGTGCGAAAATCGCAGTAGCAATACTGGCGGTTGAACAGTTCCCTAATAAACTATGGCAAGTGCATTTAAGTTCTGGCCATATCTGTCTGTCAGAAGCTTAAAGTGGGTACATATTTGTACACAAGTTTTATCATGGTGTGCATTTGATAGTTGAAATGTGCGTAGCTCATGGGCATAACTAAGTATTTTATCTTTGAAAGCTGGATATTTTTGGTTATTTTTTATGCATTAGCATGATTGGCAGAAGAGAACAGTCATTAACCAGTGAAATCCAAATGTCCAAAGTTTTAACCTTGACAGCTACCTTTTACCACCTAGATAAGCTAGAATTATGCATATCATGCATCTCTTATGAACTGTCAAGAGAAGTCGTCCACATCTCAGCATACAGTTATGAATCATCTTTATCTTATGGTTATGGCTGGAATTAGAAATTGATGAAATGATGGAAATGTTTCCAACGATATGACAATCAAAGGTAGACTGATTTAATATGCTCTCGGATGGGGGAGGTTCAATGTGATCCCACCCCCTGAACGTTTTTACAGAATGCATACCAAACGATGTGACATAGCCGTACCAAATTTTGCATAGCTGTAGACAATTAAATTGTGGATCGTTTGGCATAAAATATTTAGACGTGCCTTGTATTGTCGCTGGCCTATGGCAGGTCAAAGTCAGGCCATAGATTCAGAGAATAAAATTGCTAAGCAATCGTTCAATCTGATGCAACAGCGGAGCGTTTGATGAAGCCTAACGTTGTCTCAGAAACATTCTCCGAGATAGTTTCTTAAGCAGCTATTAGGCAACAAATCAGTAGCTGAATTAACGAATTGCTTTGAACTAGGATCAAAAACCAAAATCAGTCAAGGTCAAAACTAACCTGTTTTATCACCATCGAGTTCGTTGCATTGAATGCTTTCTGGTGCCCATTTTTGATTTTTTGGTGACAGGAACAGCATGTACATCCTGCATGGACTTTTTAATGGTCAGAATAGGTCACTGTCTTAAATGACGCAGGTAAGCATCTTGTTTTTAAGAACTTACTACGAAGTGTGATCCTTGACGTTTATTCAAATGAAAAACTCAAATCGGGCTCCTGTGATTTTTGCAGCATGACGTTCGAAAGGTTGAACAAGATCATTGACGTTAAATGAGCACGGGTGACCTTTTGCTTAGGACAGGTATCTAGTTTCATGATGTTGCATGAGAAGGTATGGGGCTCTTTGAACACCAATTTGGAGTTTGAGCCCGTCTGATGTTATTTGACCTGAAGGTCATGGCCTAGGAGCCTCAAATTTGACAAGTGAGTGGACGTAAGCACCCTGTGAATTTGGTGTCCCTAGCTTTCTTTGTTTCTGATATCTCAGCAGGGTGCCAAATTTATCACCTCCCCGCCCGAGCAAAGAGTATTCAACCGGCCATCCGGGCGCGTGTTTAAGAAAAGACATGGTACATACAAAAAATAAACAATTTGCAGGAAGCAATTTGCACGCTTAAAGTGTGCGGTAAGCTCTTTGAGTTATTCACTGCCAGTAGTAGCCAACATTGTCAATATGGTGTTTTTGCGATGTTTTGTCCTCTCTACTCCCCCTACCTTCACACTGCCTAGAACCCACTGCACTGGTGGCACAGTCTATGGTTTAATCTCAACCTTTCAAGGAAATGAATTTCTTAGGCAAGGCTCACGATAAGAGGACTTGTTGCTTGCAGCACTGCCCGTTAAGCGTTCTATGAGGTTTTCAAAAATTGTATGGAGTTTTGAACCGAAATGTCCATCTTATAGATCATCAGTACATTTCACAGACCTGGCCTTCTTTGGACCTAAATTTTTCTAGTTTCTGAGCTACACGCCCGCGAAGATGTACAGAGTATTTCGGGAAGGTTATTCCAAGGCCCCTCAGGTATGCCTAACGCTATGCCATTGAAATCCTGCCATTCCATCGGACATGCCGCGATCAAGGCACAAAACATTTACTTGCGTCGTTCATATCTGGCGTTCGTGAGCACGGTTTCCAGATATAACGGCCGTCAATGGGCTCTCAATCAATGTTGTGCAAGGTTTGATGACGTAGTGAGGAGCATATTTACTAAGCAGAGAAGCTGTGCTGTCTAGGGCAGTCTTTTCCATTAAAAGCATGCCAATCAATAATCATAAGTGGGCTTATTTTAGAAAAGCCCATGCATGCTTTAAATTTTTCAAATGTGGCGCATTCTCCTTATGGCTACCTGACACGTGGTTAATACCCATATATTTCTCAGGCCACACGCAGAAAGGCCGGTTCAACATGGTGTTGGTGTGTGGCAACCATTCGAGAGTTTTTTGGGGCATTAAAGTGGGAGGCAATAAAAAGCACTACATACCGCAATGTCAGAACGCCGAGGTAGGCGCCAGCCATAGAACTGAAATGTTGCCATACGGATACTATCTTTTAGCGCGAGCTTAGCCTTGATAGAACCTCGGTATACAAACTAAGCGCTCGGCGGAAGCGTTTATTTGTTGTTAATAATCATCATGCAGTGCAATGACTTGTCGCATGAGGCTAGTACATACTATTTATTGATTAACTGCCACTCGCTTTATCCGGCCAAGAAACTAATATTTGGAAGAAGGAATACCGTGCGTAGTTCTACAGGCACGTCCAATATTCCTGCCACGTCATTCTGGGTCTGTCGTGTGCTTGTCACTTTTCTAGCACATGTTCACCATATTCCCCTCCTTCACATAAATAGCTGGTGGTCCCTCGATGTTTCTGTTGCTTCTTCTCTATTTTATTTAGCTACCCCTCTGTTATTTCAACTACAAGGCACTTGATCCTTAGATTAAAGCGCTACTTGCGAACCAGAAGACAACGCCGTCGACACAGCTGTACTTGCTATCCAGATGAAGCTCCTTTCCCTCCACACCGTATCGACTAGGCTGAACTGAATTTCCTGGTAGTGCAGTATTGTGCTTGGTGCATTTATTCATGCCCAAACCATTTTCAGTCCATGCTTGTAGACGACTACGAGCTTGGCGACGGGTCACAGCGTTGCAGGACAGAGCCAGGCGACGCCTTCAAACATTTCGCCCTGCACTTCGCGAGACGCTCCACCATTTTTACACCTGCCATCAGCGCCGCGGTAAATGTTTTACTGCTGCTTAGAGACGAGCTTGTCTGACGCTGCGCCGGTCCCGTAGCTTGCGCCCGAACCGTCAGGCAGGCCCGTCCCCAGCGGTGATGAGGCTGTTTTACTGCTGAAGCTTGTGGAGAGGATCGTTCGACCGGCGATTAACGCCCGGCGCGACAGGGGTGTGAATTGGGACGAAGCGGGTCGTGCCGTCGGCGACAGGACATCGCGGGCGGTTAGTGTCGTATGGATGCAACTTTGACGATGTAAGTAATGATGATGACGCCGAGTAGGCGTGCACTGCTGTCCAAAAATTTCGGGTTTACCGGCCCGCTATTTACGGAGCTGCTAACCGAAATGGTTCTCAGCTTCAGGTCTGTTCGATAAAATGGTGCAACCATCTAATTACAAAGCTGCTAACCAAGACGGTTCTCAGCTTCGGGTCTGTTCGATAAGATGGTGGAAACATCTCGAGGTTTGTCGCTGCACCGTGAAAACAAATTGTTTTGTGGGCATCTTGCTAAACCACTGCGCACTAACTGTCGTGGGACATCACCCCACCCAGCCAATACAGTTGCAACTTGCTGAGAGCCGGCACTACCAGGACTTACCAGGAAAGAAACCGGACATCAAGAGCAGGGTGGCTGGCAAAGTATAATGAATCACGTTTACCGAAAAGTTTGCCGCGAGCCAAAGTAGTAATCAAATTTTAGGCGACGCATACCTATGGATAAGACATGCCATAGTACAAACCCCTCAGGCATAGATGATTATGTCGTTTATTTGGGTCAACCAGAGACAGATAAATGACGTCGGCATAAGAGTCCTTACGGCGCGTCTCATTAGTAATGTCAGTTGGTGTACAAAATTGGATAGACCGAACACCGATGCCTAACTATTTCATGTTCAGTAACTCACAAAACGCCTTTAGATCACTTTGCTGGACAGCCCAGTTTGCAATGATATATTGCCCACCTATCTGTATCACACATTTTAAAGGCTGTGAATGATTTCTGCCACCCTATTTAGAGAACAGATCTTACATGGCTCACTGGGGCATGAATGATGCACCAGGCTTACATCGCACCGACGCATTTCTACAATCAACGAAGAATATTTTTATGAGCAATTGGTTCATTGCCTACAGCTAGATATGGTGGTATCACGTGGCTAAACGTGGCACCTGCCCACTAGCCACTGCACAACTACGCATGTCTCCTGTGGCCAAGCGAGCTTAGCATGTTGGCAATATCAATAAAAATGTTAAGAAATGAGCAGTTAACATCCCTAGACACATATGTTCAGGTGTATATTTTGTTTATGTTTCTGCAACATGGCCAA